ACCCTGCATTACTAAGTGAGTACCTCTTTCCCACAGCACACCCCCAGCCTCGCGCTCCTTCTGTTTGTCTCTTTGTTTTCTTTTCTTTGGTTTTTTTGTTTTGTTTTGTTGTTTTTGTTGGTTTTTTTTTTTTTTTTTTTAAATTTTGTTTCTGAAGAGGGCTTTCAAGTATTTGGCCAGGTGAGAGGCCTTTTTCCTCACTCTCCAGTCCTGTGCCTACATGGGTATATACTTCACGTGTGTTTTTTATCTGTTCTGAAGCCGATCCGTCTTGTGTGAGATGGTTCAGGATTTCAGTTCAGCTCTGTCTTCTCCATGGCCTGCATCCACAGTTTATTCCAGATGAGATCAGAAGTTAAAATCAGGTTCTGCTACTCACTCAGGCTGCAATCAGCATACAAAATCTGATTAAAAATCCAGATGAGGTTTCACTTCTCTCCCAAGCTAAACCCACAGTCAGTTCCTGGGGATCTGGAAATCCAATAGAACCCAATCCAGTTGAACCCATTGGAACAGTATCCAGAGTGGGAGACATCACTGGAGGAGGCTACATCACTGGGTTTAGAATAGCCAGAAGTTTTCTTTCAGGGATATTTCCATCCAGTGACTCTAACATGCCCAGAAATAGTCAGGGCTTTGCCAGAGGGGGAAAAAACCTCCCAGAAGACCATATCTTCTAACACAACATTTCTTTGCAAAGGAATAGGAAAAGATTTATTATGTGTAAAATAAATCTGCTGTGATTATTACCTACGTATTTACTGAGGTTTAACAACTGGATAATAGATGCACATTTTATTCCACTGTTGTTAAACCTCAGTAAATGTGAGCTTAATAATCAATCACTATTTAACACACATCCAATAACCATCTAGAGAGCTTTCATGCCAAATGTGACCAAAATCACAGGCAACAGAACAGTGTAATTTTGTTTCATTTCTCCCCTCACGGTTTTAGAGGTGACCTGCTATACTTTGTCAGGTATGCTGAGAACGTCTGGCCCTGACACTTTCCTTGTGGCCGCAGATCAGGTGTGGCGTATTTGTGCTGCAGTGCTCATGGGCTTCCGTCTCGGCAACTTATTAATGGTCAGAAGGAGCAAAAGGATCTCCTTCCTGCAGAGGGGCTTCAGAGCCAGAGACCATGGTAGTATCTATCCACTGAAATATGGCTCTAGGCTGGCTTCCGCTAATTGCCTTTCCCTAATCTCATCAAGAGCTGCGTAGTCCCCAAGTTAGTTCTTTTGGTTCCTTTCCTTTCTTCCTTTCCTTTCCAGTTCTCCTTTGTTGCTTTTCTTTGTTTGATTGTTTTAATTTTTTTTTTTTTTTTTTTTTTTTTTTTTTTTTTTTTTTTTTTTTTTTTTTTTTTACTGTTTGTCCTTTCAACCAGTCCATTCTTCTCCTGTGTTAACTTTCAGGTTCCCCTTATTATTATAGTGCCACATCCCGGGGCTCCGCACCTCCCACTGCTGCCGCTGCCTATGACCGCCACTAGTTACCATGGAAACCATATGAAACTGCAGGGCGACAGCTTAGGCCTCCACATTGTACCTGTCTGATCACCTCCCTCCATCTCTGGGAAGGGTGAAGAGACCTTCTCCGTTCCTCCCCGCAGTCCAGTTCCTTCCTCTTCGCCACAAAGGCGCCGGACCAAGCGCTCAACACACAAGACTGAGACCCCCTGCCCTCTCCCTGCCCTCCGCCCCGACTGCTCCCCCCACGCCGGGAAGAGCCTGCGGCCAAGTGGCTTTTTCTCCTGGCGGGCCTCC